ATGTAGATTAAGGGTTGTATGATCTATTCCTAGCGCTGGTAAGTCTCTGACACGTAGCTCAATGATGAAAGCTCTTACATACACCGTGGTTGTTCGACCAGAAGGGAAGACGCTACCTGTGTCCAAACGAACAGTGAATGCATTACAGGGACAATATGAGCGCAGTCTGCTCCGGCCTATGCAAGGTTGAGAAGGGGCATTGCAATCTGCTGTAGAAAATGTTTACGAAGACATTTTTTTTGCTTATCCCTGCTATACTGTCTTAAAATAGCCAATGTTAGATAAAAATGTATGTTTCTGATTTGCACAGTGAGTTTTAAATCAAAGAAAAAAAGTGACTTTTTAAAGCGTCAACATTTATGACAAGCACTGGCTTGTCACTAAGCTTTTACCGAGCGCACCGCTGCAAACTACCAGAAGTGAAGTGGGATGGCCATGGCTACAGTCCTTGTACGCTTGCGTTCATTCCCAGCGCCTCCGGCTGGGAGAGCAAAGGTCCCTTTAAAGAAGAAATAAGAGCAGTGCAAGATCACCATCAGGGATGTCACCATCCCTGGAAGTATTTAAAAGACGGGTAGATGAGGCACTTAGGGACATGGTTTAGTGGGCATGGTGTTGTTGGGTTGATGGTTGGACTCGATGATCTTGGAGGTCTCTTCCAACCTTTAATGATTCTATGATTCTATTCTATGATTCTATGATCAGCAGCTTGTATCTGCTGCGGTACTGTAACTCCATAGCCCACCATGCTGACTTGGTTTCAGGCGTGATCAGTAGAGGGAAAGGCAACACAAACATGATTTGAAGGGAAATACAAGTACTGTGTACGCGATGTGTTTGAGCAACCGTGAAGACGTCTAGCAAGGGTCTGTTAAAACCCTTCCTTTCCATCATGCAGACGCAGGAGACACAGTCCTTAGAGAGAAATGGTGACAGCAAGCCTTTTGTGCTATTTGCCAAGGGCTGAAGCGAGGGGCAAAAATGTGTTCAACTGGATTGTGCCGCTTGGCGCTGAACGAAGCAAAGGTTTTTGTGCAAGTGCCGCTACCTAACTGCCTCTGAGATACTCTCCCATGTAGGCAGCCTGCTTTCTCGCCCGTCCCAGGACACCGGGCTGCTGCTTGGATGCAATCTGTGATAGCACATTGGCTAAGGCACGCTGATAAGCTCATTAGGGGCTGAAAACAGGATGGAAAAGATGGTCTCACCGGGTCTGTTTATGACCCTGTGGCCCCTTGCACAGATAAAAGAGGATCTTTTCGCTTTGCAAACATGATTTGTGTTTGTCTCTCTGAAATGGTCTATGTGCTATTTGTCTACAGCAATCTTTTGCTTCAAGGCATTAACTGTCATCTGTTATGACAGGGTGTTTTTGCATGAGAAACAGGTGCCTGAAGAATTATGCGAGTACAACTTCAGAAGTTACTTTTGAGACTTTGACTACTGTCCCCAGAAACCCTTAACGGCTTGCAAAATGTTACAGAACAGCGTAACTTTATTGGAACGGTCACTGCAGGGTTGGAAGAAATTTGGTTCGTTGGCTGAAAGTAGATCAGTCTGTTTAGCTTTCAGATCAGACTGTTTAGCTTTCTTCTGGCATAACGTGGAAATAATCTTCTAAGCTGTTTTTATCAAGAGTCAACCTTCTTCTCATATCGTTATTTTATTACAGTCCAACTGGCGCTCCTCTTTTATCTTCCCTTCCTCCTTTTCTAAAATAAAATTAACCTGTTTTTTAATGTACATGCAATATATACTCTCCATCAGAAGACAACCAGGTCAAAAGAGAAGCAACTCTGAACACTTTGTATTTGTCAACTAATGCATATCTAGATAAAACAATCTGGTAACTAAAACTCATTTAAAATTTGGCTTCCAGGCTAGGACTTGGGGAAGGAATTTTTGGATGCCTTCTGTTCTCTTTCGAATCTTTGCCAATTTTGGTGATGATATTTCCATAAAGTCATATTTGATTTCTTTAAGAATATATTTCTTCCCTATTTTCCTTTAAATCCATAAGGTATTACGTTTTCCTCTTTCGGAAATGGAGAAAAAAGAGGTAATGTATTTCGCTCCAAACATGCCTCACATACATAATGCAAACGTGTTTGCCTCAGTGTTAATATTTAAGGGAAAGAATGACACACAGTAAACCCAAGAATCTAAATATAAGGAATCCAGTCAGCGACCTTGAAGTCTTTGGATAGACCCTGGGAGCGCTGTTTTCTGTTCCATGCTGGGAGAATGCAATTTTCCCCTAGAACAACAACAGTTTGGTTGTACCCACCTACTACAAACAAAAGATAAGAGCTACTCAATAACAAAATGCTAGTTTACTTCGCCTCCACCGTGCTTTTGGAGAGAACCAGCAGTTACTTGAGATAATCTTTTCAAGGAAAAGTCAATCTAGCTGATAAGAAAACTTCCTTTAAGAGAATTCAAGCCAGGAACTCTTTTCCGTGTTCCGTCCCCTATGGTTGCGATGCAGCGTTTTGTTGAAGGCTTCGGTCAGAGCTAGGCTGTGATCTTTCCGTTTCTGAGCTCTCCTGAGTAGTTCTAGCTGCTCTAACTTTACAGACTTCTGGGTCATTTCTAATCCAAGTTTTCACTTACTACGACTAATTATAAACTGCCGAAAAGTAAGTGTCCTTAACTCAAGTTGGTATTTCAGCCAGTAATCAGTAAGGAAAACAGCAACAAATATAAGGAAATGGGTACCGTCCCACTCTCTCATAGTCCATTATCCGGACTAAAACCCACTTTATAGGTGCTATTTTAACCTGTGTTTTCCAGGTTGACCAAACAGAGTAAAGAACATGCAGTTGGGGGAACACAGGCAGATTCTCTTGGCTCTGCTCCCCCAAAAGGCCGGCAGTGAAGTGAAGGGGGAAGAGTCTTCCCAAGTCCTTGAAAATGCGATTCCTCCACATCAGATGGCCTGAAGCAGTTCAGTTTTTCAGAACAGCCTCTTGTGAAGAAATCTAGTTACGTTCAGAGCGTTTACATGGGAGGCTACAAGTCTGAGCAGGCAAGTGATTTCCTTCAGCAGTAGTCGTTGCCATGCAGGTGACAGGTGGAAGAGAATTCCTGGAACTCCCCGGCGTTCAAAGGCAGACTCACGAAGTTTATGAACCCACAGTTTGAAAGCGCACCAAAAGCCAAAATCCCGCCCTGGTCAGGGCTCTAAGGGAGGAACCAAGCAGCCAGAGATGCCTTCACCGAGATATAAATCTAGAGCAGGACGAGGATGGGCTACATTCTGCTTTGCTCTACACAGAAGCAGCATGTGAACTCAGCGCCGTTTGAGCCTTGGCTGTGTTTACGGGCGAGGCGGTCTAGGAGTCCGCCTCCCTGCCAGGCCAGCGGGCTATTCAGGCACGGGATGTGGTGCATGAATGGAAGCATTCATTGCCTTTCTCTTCTCATGCTTCTCTAACCCTCGGGGCGTTGATCCTGTGCTGTTGCCCCTTACCCGGAGCGGAGGAAGAGGCTGCCTCTGTCCTCATTCCCCTCTACTCTAGTTCCCTTGCAAAACAGAAAGCAAGATTCAGCGCAAGATTCGGCGCGGAGAGCACTAATCTAAAATAAACTACCATTAGCCATAATAAAGTCCAGCGCATCTCCAATTCACCAAGCTGTCTGCAACTATGCAGAAAGCCCTGATAAGATAGTCCTTGCTCCAGTCCAGGGAAAAAAAGCCCTTGCACACATCAGATTTACTTCAGCCAGGTCACGTTCAAGGACCTGAGTATGTACTGCACAGAGAGTCCTTCCCACATAGTCTTAACCTATTAACTGCTCTTTAATGTCAGACATAATCTAGGTTAAAAACCACAAAAACTCTCTGTTCTGAACTCACATGTGACCACATCAAGGGACTCTACTTATGCTGAGGATTATTAAGCCTGTTGGACAGGTTATAACGGCTGGCTTCCCCACAGGGCCTCGCAACATCATGACAGCGATTTTCTGCATAATGTTTTCTGATGATTTCTGATGATTTTCTGCATAAAGCAGACTATTCCTCTAGATCCTTGTTTGCTAACAGCAAGGACCACCGTTCCTGTTCAACCAAATTCCAACCCCCGTTCCCTACCAGAATAGCTGCTGCAAGGTTTTGACATCCGACACTGAGGAAAAGGCTTCGGAGAGTTGAGTCTGCTCCCGGGGCAGCGCGAGGAGCTGCTGTCGGCTTCACCAGGGCCAGGCTGTGCGGCCCGCAGAGCGTTTCTACTTTTCTTCGAGCTTTTTTCTTCGTATATGTTTCTGTAGCCAGACACATAGCTCTGTGCGTACAGATGACAGATGTGTTTGTGTTGCTTTGTAGGTGGAACAGTGTGTAGAATTACGTTTCGCCAGATGAATGTGAAATGCTAAAGTAGACTTTCACACACTTAGCTCCAACAAAACACCTTTTAGAAGTTGTTCCAGTGTACGGAATACCATTTTCCATGTCAAAATCTTAAGTGCATATTGTACTGCTGAAAGTATGGTGCTTAAAATGAGAAAACAGGATATACTGAAAGTCAAATTCACTGTACCAGGAAAAGAGAGGGAAACTCTGTTCCTTCCCCTATTACCGATAGTAACACTTTTTTTTTCTTTTCTGTATTTTAGAGCCTGAACCAGTTCAATTTTCCCAAGTGACAGTTTGCTCTCCGTGATGTAAACCTGCTGAGGATTTTTTGCACGTAAGCTTTGAAGAAAGTACTTCTTAAATCTCTAAGTACTGTGCCTGTAGCATGACACTTGTCACCTTTTTATTTATCTTTAGAAGTGAGCAACAAATTTCAAAAGGTGCACTACGATTATAAGGACAGCTTTGACAAGCCCAGAGGAAAAATGATACTGGTGTAATGCTTTGGGGGTTTTGGAAGACTGTAGCGTACAAACTGTCATGAAGCCAACTTAATATAACTGTTTCCTTCATACTCTAAGGAATCACAAGGGACTTCACTGCTAGCATACAGGAAATAAAGTCTGTTGTGCTAGAACAAGACTTTGTTTCTTACAATTTAGAAAACTACACAAAGTTTCCTTACAGGAAATGTTACAATTCATACACATTCCCATATTTATTTGTAGACAAAAATTGCCATTCACACAGCAGGAAAACTAGATGAAAACAGAGACAGCATAGACTTAAGGCCATTATGGGGTATTGGTGAACAGACCTACATGATGGCAATAAATACAACTACACAAAAATGTACTTAAATGTAGAGATATCTTTATTGGTGTCTCCTTTTCCAGTACCAGCCTAAATTCTTAACAGGAATCCTCGAAAATAAATTCCTACATGAATGCATTTCTTCAGTGAGGAGCTTGCAGAGTTTATTTTAGGTAAAGCCTGTCTTCTGTTGTTACACTATTCGACCAAGATATACTGACTTGGGATATTTTTCCTTTAGATCAGGCCACTGAACGATGAAGTAATCTGAAAAGTAGTAAAGAATCTTTCCAGACAAGGATAAAGTTTCCACGCGGCAGATGCTCTCTACATACACAATGATTGCTCTCTTTATTCCTAGAAGCCCAAGAAGAAGAGCAGATATACAGACAGGGACACATGTTCCTGGTCCATTGCACAATATCTAAAAGAGATGAAACATTTTACAAAAGTAAACCATGAGTTTTTTCATATGGTAAAGAATTAAAAGTGTGTATATTGATATAACATTACAGTTAAAAAAAAATTATTTCCAAAGATATTTTGAAAAACAGAAGAGGCAAGTGAATATGAAAAAATAAAAGGGGGGGATGGGGCAAACAAAAGACATTATTTCAAAGTAGCTGCCAAAAAAGATCGTCTTTCTTTACATGTCAAGGAGGAGGAGAAGAGCTCTGAGATGGCATAGTTAATTTCTATGAAGGAAGCAGAATTCCTTGACTCATGGGTATATAAATATATATGTTATGGCTTCCAATCTCAATCACAGCTTTGTGTTGTATCAATCATGAGATTTGTGCACAGATTAAGGCATAATAAAGCCAAAGAAGTTTAATTAGGATTACTGAACCTGGGTTCCAGTTATAAACCTCTTGAACTTTGGCTTAAGTCAGCAAAACACTTAAGAGTTCAGCAAAAATGTGCTGATGAATTAGGACCTTCATCAGAATCTACTAGCTGATATGCACGACTGGATTTTTTTTTTTTTCTTTTAATAAACACTAGTACATAGAAACAACCACACAGAAGGAAGACGTTTTGGTAAATACATATCATGTCCTTGTAGCAGAGGATCTCAAATTCCCTTATAAATGTTAACAGTAAAAGAAAGTGGTCTTTCAATTTTAGACATTGCTAAACTGAAGAACAGATTGCTTAAAAGTAAAAGGTTTAAACCAGGGTATATTACGCACTCTACTTGGGTATCAAAATTGATTTCAGGCAAGGCATTTCTTACTAAATTTAACTACTACCATCTAATCAGCACTTTTCTGCACAGCTGGGGTTTACGTGGAAATAAAGAGTTCTTTCATAAAATCATGGCCCTATCTGCTATAAACTCACATTTTTTTGTTCCAAGTTCACCAGCTTGTGAAAGATACTATATCGGTGGGGGGAAAAAAAATATCAGGAGTTTCTGCTTCAGGGCTGTAGCAAACATTTCAGAATGTTTCCTTCCCTGCTTCGTGGCAAGATCCCACTGATGAACTGGCTAACAGCACCTTGCCTCAGTTAAAAGCAGCAGCAGCTTTGGTGCTACTGAGTTCCAAACTCTCTCACCTACACTTTCCTTTGCCTTTAAGATGGCCCCAGAAATCTAGCTTGGGGATGCGATGACTGTAATGCAGTGTTTTCTCATCAGAATCAACAGAATGTAATACGGTATGCAAAATTACTCTGATTTTATGGTTGATCTTAATTGAACTATTTATTCATGCAAGACTTGCTGACATTTTCTGAAAGACCCTTACAAGCAACACGCTGTATACTGTTTTAATCTTGAAAATTTAGGGTATCAACTGCCACAAATACTTGTACAAGAAAATTGCAGCAGTGTAATTCTTTTATATTTGCAGTTACATAGCTAAGAAGCAAAGAGGCTGAACACATCGAATTTGCATACTAGATTTTGGAAATCAGAGTAAGAT